TGAACAGCATCCTCCAAGCCTACAGAGTAGACAGGGTGTGGGTGGAGCTGGTTAATGGAAGGAAAAGTTACAGGAACAATGGAACAGAGGTTCTAGCTAAACCTACATAAGTGCTGATCATTTAGACTGGAACACTTCTACAGTGTCAGTCCATCCAGCGAGTTCAGCCAGGAGAGAAAGACCTATTTGTGGGTTAACGCCCATGACAATCATACAATGTAGGTATTATTATTCTCCTTTTATAGAGATGAGGAAACTCAGGTACCAAGAAGCTAAATCACTTGTCCAAGGTAATAAACCTAGTATATGTTGGAGCTGGGAGTCAAACCCAAGTAACCTGACATCTAGAGCTTGGCCACCACTGTATTTTCTACACTCACTATAAAGGCCATCACCAAAACACAGGATTGGGAATCAGATAACCTGAGCTTTATTTTATCTCTGTCACTTATTAGATGTGTGAACTTAGGCAAATCCCTGTACTTCTCTGAGCCCCAATTTACTTATCGAGCAAATGATAACAATAATATAGTCTATTATACAAGGTTGTTATGAGCATCATTAGTCAAACTGAGAATACTGCTTAAAATTATGTGTTCCATGATTGGCAACTGTGTAATAAAGACATAAGGCGCATGAAAAAGACTGGCAGGGGCCAGATGACAGTGATGCCAAGGCGCTGCCTCAGGGGCCTTTTTTAATCACTACTTTCTGAACTATCAGTAAGATTATTTTACTTTCATGATTTAGAATGTATGAAACAGATGTTGGCTATTATTATAATTACTATTATCACCATTCACGAGAACTGAAAATAGTTTCCTGAGTTCACGCCTTATCAAAAAATCAGAAGCCTAGCTTTTCTGTTCCAAACCATTTACAGTGTTTCCTAAAGATAGCATCAAATTTAGCCCACAGCCATTGCCTGAATTTCACTTGCTAGTGGTGAGTCTCAATAAGAATGCTCAGATACTCACATTCATGTTGCTCATAGGGAGGGTAGCTCAGCCGAACAGAGATCAGGATCAGGAAGATAAAGAGAGGCCAGGCCACTTCCAGCAAAAGCTGACACTGAGTGGGAAATAAGACAGAGCACTGTGAATTTAAATAATAATATGAATGCCTAATGCTACTGGGCTTTGAGAAATCCACAGAAAAATTAATTAAACAATTGATGAACTTCTTCAATCTCTCCCATCACTCTTTAAGCTGTCATGACACTGAACTATTTGCAGTTCTCACCTTGTAACATACTATTCCATACCTCTGTGTTTTCCTTAAGAAAGAGAAGATGTTTCCCATCCTGCTTCCTCTGGCTCACTTCTGCTCACTCTTCAAGACTAAACCAGGCATCATTTCCCTTCCTAAAATCTCAGGCTAAACTAGAAGCCCTTCTCCTGTGCTCCCACAGTAACTGAGCCCCTGAAATCATCTGTTTCTATCACTGGCTTCCTCACTGCAATATAAGCACTCTGAAGGCAAAAACTGGGTCCCAGTCACCTTTGCATCCCCAGCTTTAGCACAGTTTCAGGTACGTAATGACCACTGTTGAAAGGGAAAGGCCAGAGCAAGCTGCTGTGCTAAATACGCACCACTTCTACTCCTCTAAATGCAAACACAGAGGTGTGCCCCACAAGGCTGAGAAGAGGGCTCAGAACAATGGAAATTCACACACAGTTCTATATCGACCTCCATGTACCCACGACGGGAAAGAGCTGGGAAGAGCGCAAAGGTCTTCCCCATCCATCAAGGTCTGGTCACCATCTTCTCTGATGTGTAGGAAGGTCATTAAACTTACAAGTAAGCATGATCCACTGATTAAAGCAATGAGGTTTCTCTAAAGGAAAAGCCCATCTCATTGAGTTGCCAAGGGATAAATAAGCACAGGGATAGGATGGAAATCATTACATAATTTAACTGAACCAGTGGTGTTCCAACATCTACAGATACTCATTGATTTATGATGGAATTATGTCCCAATAAATCCATCATAAGTTGAAAATACTCTAAGCTGAAAATGCTCACCTACCGAACATCATAGTTTAGTAACCTGCCTTAAACACGTCTCATACAATGACTACACTGCAGAGTATCTGCTGTTTACACTCATGATTACGTGCCTGAATGAGAGCTGCAGCTCACTGCTGCTGCCCAGCATCACAAGAGTATCCTTCCCCTATCACTATCCTGGGAAAATATCAAAATTCGAAAGTCAAAGTAATGTTTCTACTGAATGGATACCACTTTCGCATCACTGTAAATCAAAAAAATGTAAGTTGAACCATCATAAATCGGGGACCGTGAGTAGTTACACTGCCTGATTTCTCACCTCTTTCTTCTTTTCATTTTTATACTCTAAAGTTCTAATTAAGATGAACACCAAAGAGCCCAGAAAAGTCATGGGGCCTTGTGGTTAAGAGTAACTACCACCGTGGCTTCTAAGCCAGAAAGCCAAGAGAATACTGATATGAAATCCCTCCTCTTTCATCAAAATTTTTTTCTTGATCTTCAAGTCCATACATTTTTATTATAGAAAATTTGAAATTAAAAATATACAGAAAAGTAGAAAAAATAAATATAAATCACCCTTAATTTTACTTCCCAGAGGGAGTCTCTAGTAAATTGAGATAACAATGATTCTGTTAATTTGTCTTTTTTTCAATGCACACATAAATATTTCTCTCTACAAAATTTGAAATTATACAGCTTATATAACTTTGTATTTTGCTTTTTCATTTAACATCATACTGGAAGTTTTTTCCATAATATAAAATATTCTCTTAAAGTATGGATTCTAATGGACACTTAATATTCTACATTGTGAATGGATCATAATTTAACTTTTTCTACTATTGCTGGTGCTTCAGATTGTTTAAAGGGTTTCTGTTTATTATTTTTTACTGAATTTTTTGGTATTTTAAACAACCTGTTTTTAATTTCTAAAGACCTTTGATATGGTTCCACAATAACCTCTTTTTTTTTAATCTTCTTTTGGTAAGGAAATATAAGGATGATGACAGTGGATGTCCTGGGGTGATAAGAAAATGGGTGATTTTTTAAATACTTTCCTGTGTTTCCTGAATTTTTCATAAATGGAACAAAAAAAACCACTGTTACCAGATAACTATGAAGAATAGTTTGCTATAAAAAGCACACCAGGAAGAAAAAAAAAAAGATAAATGGGTCCCTCTTTAGAAGGAGGAATGCTGTCAATGGGGTCTCCAAGACCAAAGATGGGGCTGGTCTTGCTAAGTATTTCTATAAATGATCCCAAAGAGGCAACACACACTGAAATCTCCAGGCTTTCAAATGACATTGGGCCTCTTCTACCAGCGGAGTTGGAAGTCCCTCCTTGGAGTTCCCCAAGTACTCTGTGCCTCTATTAGCACTTGGCAGAGCAAGGGTCCTATTTATTTGGGAGCTTCTCCTCTAGTGTCGCTTTCTTCTCACTAAGTGTTCATGATGAGGGCTTAAAAAATGTTTGTTGAGTAAGAGAATGAACTGAAGTTTATAAAATAATGAAGATGGACATACAAAATCAGTTGAGCCCTTTGGGAAAGCAATTTGGCCATATGTATTCAAAGACATGTTTATCTCCTTTGATCCAGTAATATTCCTGGGAATATATCCTACGGAACTAAATTTAAAATAGCAAGAAGTTATATACATGAAATTGTTCATCCAATGAAACACTATAATTCAAAAATACTAGAAACAACTTAATTACAGGGCAAGAGAGAAATGACTAAATTATGGTACATCTACCCAACAATATAGTGTGCAGTCATTACAATAATGTTTGTGAAACGCAGACACTATTAACCATATAATATTAAATGAAAAAAGCAGAACACAAAATTTTATCCATTCTAAGCTTACAGCTAAATAAAATCACAAATATTAACAGACAAGAATAAACTTGTTAAAAATGGCATAATTGTGAATGAATTCAAAAGAGAATAATGAACATAAGATAAATAGTAGCTACCATTTATTTAAAGTCCAATATGTAGAAGTACAATATATATGCATTATTTCATTGAATCCTTAGAATGAATCTGTGACATAGGAACCATTACCGTCTCCATTTTATATGTGGCAAGGCTGAAGATCAAAGAAGAGCTAGTCAGCAGCAGGGTCAAGATTAGAAATCACTTCTGTCCAATCCCAGAGGCCACATGAAATTCTTTTTGACACAGCAAGTGGCCCAGGTGGGAAATAACTTTACTGGATGTCATGGTCAAAAAACAACAACAGGTTCCATACATGTAAAATAAACTCATGGCCTATAGATTTATTATAGTGACGGACCATCCTGAGCCCCTACTGTGTATCAGAGATTTTTATACATCACATCTTTTTTTTTTTATAGTGACATTGGTTAACAAAATCCAGTAAGTTTCAAGTGTACAATTCAACAGTAAGTCATATATATTTTGCATTGTATGTTCACCACCCATTAATTAGGTTTTCTTTCTGTCACCACATATTTGACCCCTTTTATCCTATCTACCCTCCCCGCTACCCTCCGGTAACCACTAATCTATTGTCCATGTCCATGAGTCTCTGTTGGTCATGTTTGTTAGTTGCTTTTAGGTTTATATCTCCCATATAAGTGATGTCATTAGACACTGCATCTCTAATATTTAATTTTCACAATAACTCTGTAAGTTAGGTCGCATCATCACTATTTTAGAAGTGAAGAAACTAAGGTTTCAATAGGTTATGTATGAGCCAAAGCCTGGTAAGAGAGCTCATGAGTACTGGAACCCAGATCTACTGACCCTCAATGTGTGCTTTTGCATCCATCATGTTGCCTCTCACAGAGCCATGTTTGGGACATATACCTTTTAAGATGGCCACTTAAGAGGAATCTATCACTCACTAGCCCTCCTGAGCACTGATCTGACCCAATAAATCAAGCCTTATGTTCCTGGACATCTCTATAGCCTGCACATCTAGGTTGTTCAAAATATGTCAGTTGATTGAATAAAATGAATGGGTCTTCCCCATGGTTCTGATAGTAAAGGGCACAAAGAAAATCTTACGAATCATTTTCAGCTTCTGAAGCCAGTGGCTGTAAAGCTGTTCAGGGAGAAGTAAAAAAAAAAAAAAGACTAACCATAATAATTATCAACACTTAAGTGGGCCTTACTATGTACCAATGTTCTAGGTGCTTTACATATATTTAACTCATTTAATCTCCAAACGACACCATTAGTACTATAATGACACTCATTTATCAGATGAGAAAACTGAGGTTCAAAGAGTTAATAAATTGCCCAAGGCTATAAGGTTGATAAATGGCAGAGCCAGGATTCAAAGCCAGTCCAACTCAAGGGTGCCTACTTTTAGTCACTATGCACCACAATCTCCTTATGCCTTCTGCTTTCTTACCAAAGTATCTAGATTCTTGATCTTCAGAGCCCTTGCTGAGCTGAATCACTCACATGTATGAATGAATGAAGAGATGGTCTCCAAAGCTCACACCACCCCAACCAGAGAACTCATGAGAGACAAAATCTAATCCATGCCATTTTACTCTGTACCTCTAAAATTATTTCTGTCATTGAACACAAAATTCACCTTCTAAACTCAGGGGGATGTTATAGGTATCTCTTTTCCTAATAGCCTCCCTCTAGAAACCTAAGTTCCACTCATCATCAAAATCAGATTTCTCCCCCATCCATAAATTTAACACTTTTCCTGCACATGGTCCCTCATAAATAGCTTGGAAACAAAACTGATGCTTTAGTGCTATAAACTCCTACAGAAAACTCTTCGAAATCTTGCTTTAGTATCTACCCACCCACCATCACATCTCTCCCCTAGGAGGTGAGAAAGATGGAGAGAAACATGATTTTCAAAAGGTGTTTCTCACAAAAGTCAGAAATCTTCTTTGAGTGTTAGGTATTAAAATAATATTTCTGATATTTAACTGAATTGCTACACTGAGTTGCTCTGGGGAGCACCAAAGCATTGCTTTGCACCTTTCTTCTCATTATTCTTCAGTTGTAACATGGGGATAATCTGAGCGAGCAAACCTAGAGCAGGTGTCTCAATGGCAGCACTGCTGACATTTGGCCCAGATAACTATTGTAGGTGACACTCCTACAAACCGTAGGATATTTACAGCATCCATGGCCTTTAGCCACCAGATACCAGCAGCACCAATCACCCCTGCCCAGGATAGTGACAACCAAGAAATGTCTCCAGACATTACAAAATGTCCTTGAGACATGAAAATCAGGGAAGGATACTGTTTGGAACTTGATAAGGTAATAAGATTCAATGAGAAAAAGAAATAGATGAAACTATCAAAGAGTATTCTGAGTGGCAAAAAGGGAAGTGCAGGACAGCGAATTCCCCCAGATCGCAGATGTTCAAAGTAATAGCACACTATGGGCATCCAAATAAAAAATATTTATCAAGTGACCAAATGAATAACCCCAAAATAGCTCCCTACACAGATAAGATTTTGATAAATGTCCCAAAAATCACTAGAAATCACTGTTTAATAAAAGTTGCTGGGATGACATGATATGAATGCAAAGAAAAATTAATTTTAGACCCATCTCTGATACCATATACCTCAATCAGGTCTGCACAAATTAAAGTGAAATCTTCAAGATCAAGCCAGGGAACTGCTAGAGGGAAAAACAATTTTTAAAACCAGTCCTGCCTTCCCAGAACTAATTATCTAGCCTCACGCATTGATGATGGCTTTTTAAATTGGTTTGGTCCTTTGGAAAGACATCTGATCATAGACTTCAAGGGCCATTTCCCTTTGACCTCATCCTACTCCTAAGATTTTGGCTTAAAGGAATAATAACAAATAGATGAAAAAGCTAGAGGTATAAAATCTTTATAGTAATATATTTATAATAGCAAACACTGGAAACAATCTAAATGTTGGCAACAGACTATGAACTTACAAAAAAAAATTGTGTTGATCGATTGCTATAAGGCTCCCAGGAATGTTAATGGAATCATCTGAGGATAGATTTGGGGCCAAAAGATCCAGCCCTCTCTCTGACCACCTTATTAACCTACAATACCTTCCTCACCAATGAAACAGGAACTGTAATGAATACCTCTCAGAATTGCTGTGAAAATCAAGATCATGGATATAAAAGCACACTCAAAACTATAAAACACAGCCTACACATTAAGAATCATTATTATAAATACAAAGGCTATTTGGACAGATAGGAACATATACGCCCAATAATGTTAAAGGAAAGAGAACATAAAATGGTCCATACATAGTAATGGCTACAATTGTCTCCTTGGGCTATCGTCATTCGAGTCCTCTCAGTGCCAAGGACCGCACACAATCTGACCCCTGAGATCATGGCCCATCGATCACAGGAACTCCTTTTGCACATAAAATAAAATTCATCTGCCCTTCCTCAGCCACAAAGCCCTGCAAGATGTGGCCCTGCTGATTCTCAACTCACTCCCACCCCGTCTTCATTTGCTCCACCAGGGCCACTGGCTTTTCTGTTCCTTGATTCAGGAACATGTGTTAGGCCCCCACGGCCTTCACTCCTTCTGTATCTCTGCCTGGAATACAGCACCCCTGATCTCTGGGCTTTCGACGTTCCCCTGGCTAACGCTGCTGGAACTTCGGGGCTCTCAGCTTAAACGTCATGACCTTCCATCCTAAGCTAAGTCGCTCTCCACAGCCTGGTAGTATCTAACACAGTATCACAGTTTGGGTTTTGTTTTTTGTTTTTTTTTTCATAACACTTATCACGGTTTGTTATAATATTTTTACTTACGTGATAGTGTGTTTCACTTCCCTCACTAAACTGTATGCTCTATATGGGCAGGGGTCATGTCTGCTCACTGTCCCACATGTAGTAGATGGTCAATAAATATTTACGAAAATGAAACAAAAAAACGGCTATTTATTCTAATGCTCTTCGTTCCTTAGAAGGGGAAACTAAAACCTAGGAGAAATGATTTTCCCTAAACCCAACGGCATATAGTGGCCAAGCTGGAATTAGAATTGATTTAGAATTCGATAATAATTATAATTATTATCTGGATCTGAACCATCACTGCCAAGCCTGGACTAAGGATGGAGAAGAAATGTGTCAGGTGAATCTGCAAGTGGGAAGCAGATACAGGAGTTTCCATTTACTCTGTAAAATTCTCTAACGGCTTTAAACAGTTTTAATTTTTATTAATTTGCCAGCATATTTGTTATTAAACAATGCCCAAATACTGATATTCTAATTCATGCAAAAATTAAAATTATCTATTTTCTCAGCTACATGGTAGTTGGATCGTATTTGATAAAATATTTAATAGCGAAGGCAAAAAAAGAAAAAAAAGGAGGCTATATGGCCGCACTCTGTCCTATCTGTTCCATGGGGACCTTGGCCTCTGGCTCTGCCTAAACCAAATGAGGATCCTGAAAACTCTGAGGCCCCTCCCACTTCTTGTCCCAAGCCCTGTTTGCACTGAATGACTGCCACCCACACAAGTTAACCGTTACTTTGGACCCAAACTGAGCTTTGCACCCAACTTTCGCAACTCAATTTCAATGTATTCTTTGCCCAACAAGAACAGCAGAAAGCTAACCCCGGCTGATGGTCCCCATGAGAATGCACAATGAGGGTATCAGAGAGAGGTCCCCAAGATTCATCTCCAAGGACACAGAATGCAAGGGTAAAAAGCCCCTTTTAACAGGATAGCTCTGGGGTATACTGTTCAGGTCTCAACTTTCTGTTCACCGGCAGCGGCACACCGGGCCCCTAGAGCAGGGGAGCATCCTTAAACCTACAAACTAATGCCCCATTTAACACAGTTACTATTCACTCAGCAAATACTTATTAAGCAAATCCCAGATGCCAGGCTCTGGGGCCACGTGGGTACACTCCAGGATCTCAGAAGGGAAATGAGCACTGATTCCCTATACACTATGGGCAAGAACTACCATGGAGCTGCTCAGTTCTTCCCTGCCTGATGGACAGGACTGGTTCTGACTATGTGAGCTCACAAAGCAGCACCAAAACCCTTAACAAGTCTCACTGTTAAGTAACATAATCTGGAAATCCAAGCCAGGTGGATGGGGAAGTAGCTACCAGTCAGAACCTAAGATCGAGGGACATTAAGCCTTCAGCACAGATAAAGCAATGCCTGCTGTAAAGGGCCTGTGTCTGTAGGGCTACCAGGAATTTGGTTCTGGTACTAGTTCCATGACCGACCTGCTCTAGACCCTAGCCCCATTCCCTAACAACTATCCAGGGCACAGGCCAGATTGTTCCAGCTTTGACCATCTAAGCATCTCCGACCTGAAATAAGCCACTTTTCTGGTTCAGTAAATACATTTCCTTTAGAAATCAGGAAGGGAGGTAACAAGGACAAGCTAGCAGGCAATAATATGTCTTCTAGAAAAGCCCTTTTGGGTCAGGATGCTGTGTCCTTACTTCCTCCTCCAACAGAAAACTCTGCCACAAGACCACAAATTGCCTTTGACTAAGCCTGCCTATCTCTCGAATCTTAACTCTTTTTAAACCCATAAGCTATATTAGGCAATAAGCAACAAGCTCAAGCCCAGCGAGACTGGCCCAGTCCAGATGGCCCAACCCCACGTCCTTTACCAGGACCCTGTGCTCCTGATCCTTTGACTTTGGGGAAATCCCTTCCCTGCTTTGTGCCTCGGTATTCTTATCTGTAAAATGAGAGGCTTGGACTGCACTACCCATGAGACCTCCTTTCATTGCTAAGATGATACAGTTCTTTCCACTACTCACTGGCTAATAGACACACCACAGCAGAGACAGTTTCCCATCATGTGGGCTGCTACCACTAGGATGAGAAAAGGCAGGAGATCTAGATCACACAGTAGCTAAGAAATGAAGATGAGAAATGAACACGTAGGACTTGGGAACACTAGAACCTAGGAGGAGCTATGGAAGGCAGGGGGGAAGATGAAGAAGAAATCAGAAACTTCAAAATCTTGAGACTGATAGAAAAAAAAAAAAATGATACCACTGAAAAGCAATTTGACGTAGTTGTTTAAAGTACCAACTCTGAAGTGAGATGATCTGGATTTAAACCCCACATGTGCTTCTGTGGACCTCAGACAAATTACTTAACCTCTCTCTGTGCTTCAAGTTCCCCAGCTATAACAAGGAAATAACAGTGTTTCGTGGGGTCGTAAAAAGATTAAACCAGTTAATAGCACACTATTTAGCACCTAGCACATGGAAGCTCATTCTAAGTGTTTGCTTTTCTTATATAATATTAGGTTTTGTATTTTTCTATTATTATTATTACTAAGACTGGTAGGATACATAGATAAACAGATTCTAGTTCCTACTCTCTCATTATTGACCTTGGGATTCTGGTCCCATTTGTAACATGAAAGGCTAAACAAAAGCAGAGTTTCTCAAACTAGAATCTGAATGTGTGTGTTCCTGATGGATTTTATAGGAGTTCTCCGTGAGAATTTTAAACATTGTGTTTTCATTTCAGTGGTCATCTAAACAAATTTGAATAAATGTATCTGGATTTTCTGAATGCCTACTTTATAACCAAGTTACAAAGTAGGTACAACCAACGCTAACATTTCTACCCAGTTGTAAATCTACGATAAGTGATTGAGCCATATCAGGACCACTAAGTCCTGTGTCCACCAGGACTACGGTGGCCACATTCATTCAATCGCTTTGAGAAAACCAAGTAGACTCCCTTTCCTCCCACCTCCAATCCCCAACTCAAAGCCATGAAGAAAAGCATGGGAGCACCCCCCAGAGAAACTCAAGCTTACTGTTTGTCTTCTTCTGAAAGTGAGATTCTTCCACAGCAATAACCTCAACTGAGGCCAACAAGCCATGTCACCTCAGCTGGCACCCACAGCAACCTGAGTGTGGCTGGGAGCCCGTGGAGGCAGCGGCCAGAGCTCAAAAGCAGGGACTCTGTGGCTGGTCATTAACTGAAAGATAAAGCAGGGAGAGCACTGTCAGTTAGCACTGCAAAGCCATACGCCAGTGAGGGCTGTTGCTCCAGCCCCCTCACCTGAGACCTCAACACCCAGGTCTGCGTCAGGACTGCTTCTCAACAGGTCCTGAATCCCAGACTTCCGGCCTCAGGATTCTCCTGTAAACAGGGGATTCTGGAGGGTTTTTGACAGCAGCCCGGAGCTAGTCATTATAACTCTAATCATTTTAGCTCCATTGGTGTGATCATTTGGGAGTGAAACATACACGTATGAACAGATTTAAGTGAGCAATCTTAGGTGGTCAAAACACTTAGGGTGGATATGGCATACTGGAATCCCAGAGACCCGTCTCCTTTCTCTTAAGAAAATGCCTCCCCTCACATAAAATGTCAGCAACATTTCTAAGTTTTGCCTCAAACCTGGAGTAATTCATGCTATTCTCTGAAATTCTCCGCAAACTACATTTTCATCTGGCCACAAAGTTGAGTCGTTTAAATGATTAATGGCATCACTGATAAAGCAGTTCCTGAATCGAGAAAGCCAGAGTGTCTCAGATGACTGTGAATGAAAACCAAGGAAATGCTATCAACACCTGGCTCCCAGGTGACGAGGACAATCCCAGTGCTGTGTGTCTGTGGGAAGAAAATAACATCCCGTGGAGAAACAAGTCAGCTAAGGCAGGCAGAGAGCATCGCCTGTGAAACTGACAAGCTCCCACTGTCCAGACATCTGCACACTCTGGCCTTGCTCCATCTGCACCTGCACACAGGGCCTGGCTACTCCTTGTCAGGTGTCACGGGTGCCTCCTTGGAGGACTGTTTCACCATCTTAGAAGAAGGGGAGGTTCTTGTAAACAGAGAATACAACATATCTGTGCATCCCAATTGCCCACTCAACAACTATATTTATTTAATGCTGGAATATTCTCAAGTAGTCATATAAAGTTAAAGTTGGAGAAGGGGCAGAAAAATGAAAAGTGGAAGAGGAAGGGAGGGATACGCAGGTTAAAGCCACGCCTTGCTGGCACTCTGTAGTCATGAACCCTCAACAAAAACTAGAAACCAGCTTTACTTCTAAAATGGCTCAGTTTAACCGCCGTGGCTTCTAGTGGAATAGAAGTGGGAGTGGAATATCAGGCCTGAGGAACAGACAGCAACAAAGAGCTAAGAACGTAGTGGATACAAAACCAAGTATTAGACTAAAAATCTGTGAGTCCAAATCAGAGCTCAATGCAAAGGTCAACCTCCAGTAAGATGTTGCCCTTTTGTCCCCCACCTCACGAAGACTTGGATTAAAAACTTCTAGAGAAGAGAGTGGAGGGAACTTGCAGTATCTTAGAAGTAATGACCTCTTCGTTAAGTATTCACATTAATTCATTGACTATCCAACAAATCAGATCCCCAAAGGTTCTCACTCTAAAAAAGAGGAAGAGTTAAACCAGTACTGTGTCAGTTTGCAATTTGTTATTTAAAGATAACTGGCCTCGACAGTCAGAATGCCATTGTGCCTGTAAACCTGAACTTGTATTCCAGAAAGAGCGAAAAAAATAATTACCTAGATTTTTCTCATCCAAAAGCTGCTCTCCAGGAATCACTCAGCTGGTTTAGAAGCTACCGTGAATCCTTTCAGATTCCCAAGGTAACAATGGGAAGTTTAGAACACAAGTTTGAAATTTAAAAAGGAAAATTACCCTAGTAGAAAGAGCCCAGACATGAATTAACCTCGGCTTCCCACCAATGAAAACCTAGCCAAGCCTTTATGCTCCCTGAGCATCTACTTCCTCATTATAAAATGGGGATGACAATACCTACCTTGCATAATGTTCTAAAGATTAAATGAGATAATGTAAGTAATTTCTCAACACAGTACCTGGCACGTTAAAAGTACCAAAGAAATTAGTTCCTTTCTAATTTATCTTTCTCTGTTTTGTCAGTACAGAAATGGTTACATGCTGTCCAAACATCATTTTCTATTCCATTATTTCTAGCGAATGCACCGTAGGAGTCTGGAAAAATAAGAAGGGCAAACTAGAAAGGACAAAATATGAATAGCCTAGTGTTGGAGTCCCCAGGCCAAACCAGAGCACAGAATTGTCTCCTCTAAACCTGTGTGGTGAATCTCAGAGGAAGGGAAGACGCACCTCTGTAGAAGATTCATGAGAAGAGAAAGGCCAGGAGGAGTTTTTCCGGAGAGTATTTTCCTAAAATGAGAGCTTCTGGGTCTCCAGATATGGGTTCTGACCCTAGGGACCCTGCAGAAGATACTCAGAGAGGTTATCAAGTAGCCCAGAGCAGCAGCAGAAGGTGCTGTGCTGCTCTGGCTTTGCTGGGTGCCAATAGGCAGGTTTCTTGCCTCATTTCCCACACCCACATTGGCATGGCCCTGGCCACCTACATAATTTCCTGCTCCCACTTTAGAGCACAGTGATCACTGGGAAGAGCAATTCTGTCCAAAGAAAAGGGTTTGGCAAAGCCCAAACCCCTCTGCTCACAGGTAACTGAAGCCAAAGGAACATTTCTACATCAGTTTTCCAAGGAAGTAAACAAACGAACCAAAAACGAAAGGAAGACCGTACTACGAACTAGATTTCTCAATGTTTCAACGCGAGTAGCACTCGCTTTTGCCCTCCTGCACATTTCCAGTTACTGGCTGGAAAGGGTCCTACTTCACAGTCGTTGTCCTTGGAGAGGCCATTCTCACCCCATGACAACCACTTCACTGGTCTCCCTGCCTCCAGTCTTTGCCCCTTCCACCCATTTATCACAGAGCAATCAAAGTTCTTTGACTAAATCAGACAGCTAAAGATGCCACTGCCCCCACTTAAAACCCTTTGCCGGCTCCCCACCACCCTGAGGATGAAGTCTAATCCTCACTGTAGTTCCCCTGGAGTCCCTGATGACTCGCTCCAGCCTCCTCTCCCACCACTCCCCACTGCCTGATGCCCCAGAAAACTACTTACAGGCTCTGAAAGGACCACACTGTCTCCTGTCACTGGGACTTCCTGGTGTGTTCCCCAGTCGCCGAAACACTACAGGCCTGGCTAACTCTTCCTTAACCTTAGCTCTCCACTTAGCTGTCACTTGCTCAGGACCCCTTTCCTGATCCCCTCCCCTGCACTGACACCTCGGTTAGGAGCCCCTCCCAAGTGCGCCCAGGGCAGTCTGTTCTCCCTGGCAGCACTGCTCCCACGTTTTGAGGCTGGGCAGGGACCATTCCTATTCCTTCATCGCTGTTTTCCCTAGTATGAAAAATGGCACCTGGCATGTAGTAAATATTCAGGGACTGTTTGCTTAATTAATTAAGAGATGGACATGAGAAATAGGGCTTCAGAATATAAGGGTGGT